CTGTAATCAAACATTTTACACAGTTGCTTCGATTTGCCTTTCTTTTTTGTGTGTGTTTAAAAGAAAGACATCATAAGTTTTTCTTTTGGTATGTTTTTACCTTTGAGTTGTGTTTGTTCCAAGTTAAACCAATCGCGTCGCCTCCTATATGATCATACCATGGCTTCAATGTACCAAACTCTTCCTGCACACAACCGCACAAGATAAGAATCCCGAGAAAGCTTCCTTTGTTTGACAATAAATGAAATGTTTTTGTTTTGATTTAGAGCACTTGCCTGCAACCCACTCATGAAGCACTTGGTCGGCTCAAAGTCCACCATTAGCTTCTTCTTAAGCTCCTCATGGCTTCTCTTCAAATCTCCAGGCAACAAAAAAGGGTTAAACGCTGTACTTGCCTTTCCACGTGCTACATGCTTCCCTGCTCAAATCATANGGAGAGTATTAATTTATTGATTTAGTGATAAAACATAAGAAAGAGAGACAGAGAGAGCCATGTTTGCGACCTTGGTTAAGTTCTGACGGAAACAAAAGACGACGTGGGTAAGGTAATTTGTCTCTATGTAGAAGAACAACTGCATCATAGTTGTTCAAGGGTGTCCTGAAAAGGCACTGCAGCATACATAGATCCACTTGATATTAGTCGCTATCAATTTACTTGTAATACAGATCAGTGCAATGTGTTTTCAATGCATCTCACTCACCTCCCATTGAACAGAATCATTGTGTTCATGCAGTACCAGCTTACTTAACACGTTTGCACTGCTTCGAGCATAAGCCGCCAACCTTTTTTGTTCCTTTAACAAAGTATAGTAAACTTGAGTTAAAACAAGAGAAAACAAATACAAACAAGGTGGCGCTAATATTCTTTTTAAAAGCGTATGCTAATTACTAACCGATAAATTTGGTGAAGTTGATGTCCATGCCTCTGATGCCTTGTCATAAGGAGCCGCCAAGAACATAGCTGAACTTATATTTTGTCTGTCCTTTTCATAGCCCTTTCTACTTGCCATGAAGTTATCCTAAAAAACCAGAAAGCATTTACATATGGCGTTTCTAACAAATCTATCTCAACATTAGATCCATTATTAAACAAAGGACTCACATTGATCTCTTTCTCGTCATTTCTACCAAAGTCATTGTTTATGTCAACAATCAACGGATAGAACATCCAATCATAGTCTGCTAGTAATCGCAAGAACCTGTTACACAGTCCAGGGTTAAAATATATATTGTTGGCAACACCATTACTTGATTGTTTTTTTGAAAAATCAAAAGCATGGTGGCGGAAACAAACCTTAAGAATCCATTGATGCGGGAGCAAGGAACACCAAGTGGGAGAGGCGTGAGAAAGACATGTGCAACCAAAAGTTCAATGGCCTCTTCTGCCAGACAACCAGAAAAGAGATGTGCAGAAACCCATCTTTTTGCAAGTCTTAAGAAAGCAGATAAGAACTGGGGTTATGAAACTTCAAAGCAAACAAAAGTAAACACACAAAGTTAATCGCCTTTTACCTTGCAACTGGCGCATAAGTAGGAAATAGACCTTGCAAACCATTGATCATGCTTGCATGCTGACTGCGAATGAAAAGCATTTTATCGATAGAAGAAACCTGCTTCACCGGGTCAGCTCCAACTGTAACTCAGTAGAAGTTCAGGAAGTCAGAATCACATAGGCTTTCTATTTGGAAATAGCAGATATTACGAGGGTGCAAGAAGAGAACTCACTATCTCTCTTCACCAAGCTCAAGCCTCTTTCATGCATAATTCTCATGCGAAATGCGTAACCACCCATGAAAACATCAACATTATCCTCAGTAGCTGTGCATGGTATTCCCTCAACGTTCTGAAGGCTGACAGTAATTTCATTTGTAAATTTTTAGATAAGAACACTGTGACTAAATAAATAGTATGAAGTGTTTCTAACAACAGTTTAACCCACTTCTCTGCAATTTTAAGGAGGAAGGCAGATTTTGTTTTCTCAATTGCCAAATCCCCAATGGGCCAGTTACCAGAACCTTCTAGCTGCGAATAGCAAAAGAACAGAAAAAACTGGAGCGTTTAGATAACTAACACACGCAAAGTATCTATGCTATTAACCATCAGAAGTACTGATCCCACCTGAATCATGACCTCCATTGTTGGTATGCAAGATGGCAAAAGTTTATGTAGTCTTCGCGCATCAATTTTTTCGCAAGCCACTGGGTGAGGTTCAGGAGGGAACACAGATGTGAACCTGAGAGCTGACAAATCACGAGAAAATTATATATTAAAAATCACAGATACTGCAAACACCAGTACACACTTGTTTTTGCTCAAAGCACAGTGCAAAAGGGAACTAAGGGAGAACAAACCTGAGTCTAAAGGTTGAACGCTAGAAACTTTTAGAGGTATGCCTTCGATCTCACGCAAGCACTTCGAGAAAACTTCATAGGCTTGAAGCAAATTTCCAGATGTAGACATTGGGTCTAAGACATAACAGCATTATTGCAGGATTAGATTGAAACCATAATGGGACACACGCGCATTGCATAGAAGAATGAAGTGAAAGGTTCAAATGAGTTAAGCAATACCTTTATCCCCATAGATCAGAGAGAAGTCAAGTTGATCTACTAACTGTACAATGTCATCGGCCGAGAGTGAAAGATGCCGCTTAATAATATATTCAATAATTTGTTTCACGATAAGATGCTTTGTCCACTGCTGAGTCTCCCAAACTAAGATAATGAAATAGGCAATATTCAGCATGCATTAACTTGTAACTTTTTTTGTTAAAATCTGCCAAAAAGCATGTATTGACAACACACCTGTGCTTTCCGCTATTCTTCCATCTTTAAACCTCCTTAGCTCAGACTTATTCCCCCAAAACCTCCGGAATTTGAGTGCCTAGGCAAAGATTTACTATTTAGTACGACCCAAGGAGATGAGGAATCGAGGATGATAAAGAAATCTTGATGTACCTCTAACTTGTTTTCAGCATCTGGCCCGATATCGACTGTTCTAAAAGCCTTTTCGATAGAGCTGATAGATATGCCAATAAAAAGGGGTTCCCTGTCAAGAACTGACAAGCCCTGTTACAAAGACAGTTAAGAGTGTTAGAAAACGTGCCAATAATAGCCACAATGAAAAGTAAAATTCATAATCTGAAAAAAAAACATACACTCTCTACATGCCAATCTTGATTGGTATTTCTCCAAACAACACGGATTGATTTTGCTCTGTCACCCAGTCCTTGTTGCAGGAGGCTATGCACTTTCTGCTCATAGATTCTCCAACACTCCTTGTCCAAACAATACCCTGACACAGATACTGCTGGTTTTCCCTTTAGGTGTAACCTAAGAGAGCTTATATGTTAGGATAGCTAACTGGAAAGGAAACAAACTAGCGCAGGAAACAATACTAAAAATACATAGTTAAGTTGATTAGACAATAGAACAGTGTAAAGACAATCAATAATTCAAATATCTAACTAGTTTGAGCCTTAAATGGCAGTGACAATGAACAGAAAGAATTGTCCTATCTAGAATTTAAAATCTCATACTCTAACATGCACGAAACACTTTGACAAAAGTAATAACATAACCAGCCACTTCCATCCCTAACAACACAAATAGATATCAACCAAGAGAAGTGAGAAGCAAAGCTTACCTTACGCAATGGTCATACTTAACAGGATAGTCAATCTTAGTCATAAAAACCTCCTCGAATCCTCCATCTCTGAGTTTCATACATTTAAGCGTCGAAGAAGCCTCATCTTGGAGCTGTGCTGACCAACAAACAAATTAAATGAAGAAGTCACAAACACAACTGCAGGCTTCAGCCTCGGATGAAATATCAGAAAACCGAACTACATGAGTTGAGAGTTTTCTCCAAGTTAATGTACCTCCTGGAATCCAACACTGGTCATCCGGAAAGCCAAATTCACAAGTGTAGATGGATCACATATAACAACAGGGAACAACTCTCTGAACTGCATCTTCTCCTGAAATTTAAAACATGATAATCAGTAAATCTAAGTACGCAGAGAACACGACACCTATATGCGCACATGATAATTTCTTCGATAAAAATTACTTGCAATACTCTTTATCAAGAAAGTCAAGTGCTATATATGCCGACATATGTTTCTTCAAACAGTATTAAGACTTCCATATATAGTCTTCGATTACCAGAAGATGACTTATAGGCT